CCCTCTCTCCCTCTCTCTCTCTCTCTCTCTCTCTCTCTCTCTCTCACACACTCTCATGGTGGCGACCAAGGTGCTGGATACGGTGGAGGCCACACCCCTGGGGACGGAAGCAGGAGATTTGAACTCAGACAAACCATCTACTGAGGCTTCTGAGCTTGCTGTGGTCAACGGTAATACACCGGTGGATGGAATGACGGTTGAAATGTTGATGACCCCGAGTGAGGGGATTAGGCCCAATCGTGATTCTCTGGAAGATAGCAGGGTTTTCCCTGAATTTACGAAACAATCGCCTGATGAAGAAAAGGTTCTGCCCGTGGAACAATTGATGGAAGAGAATAATTTGGCGGAGGGTCAAGGCTTGGATCCGGAGGAGGAAGATCATGTGCTCCATTCTTGTGATGTTCCAGCCAACTTGCATGATCGTAGACAGAAGGTGCACGCGAGGCGGCGCTATTCCAATGATTGTCTCGATGGGTCGGTGGTTCCTAGAGTGTTGAGGTTCTCGGACTCTAAGGCCAAGGCCTGGAAACCATATAACACTCTTGGCAGGAGAGCCCGGATGATGTTGGCTAAGGCGGAAGGGGAGACACCGGGGATCAATGACAGTGGAACTCAGGTAGTTGGGGACCCTTCAGTGAGAATTACACTGGCTGATTTGGAGGATTAGAATGTGTTGCTACGCAATGATGGAATTATAGATAATTTATCAGGGTCCAAGGTGACTGAGGTGATCTTGGAACAACGATGCGGCGGGGACGCTTCCCCTTCAGTTGTCAATGTTTAACACCATCTGTTGGAACTGTCAAGGTGCTCGTAAGAAGGAGGTGGGCAATTACTTACGACACCTTATTGGGGCCCACGATGTTAGTGTTGTCGGTCTGATTGAGACCAAGATGGAAGTTTTTTCCAGAACGGATGTTGATAGGATTGTTGGGAGGGATTGGGATTTTTGTTACCAACCTTCTGTAGGTAAGGCGGGCGGTATTCTAGTGTTATGGAAGTGCTCGGTGGGGTCATTCCAGGTCCTCTTCAAATCAAAACAGTGCATTATGGGTAGATTTAGAAGCTTATCTTCTTTTGACTGGGAGGTGGCCGTGGTTTACGCGGATAAAGATACTCATATCCGGGCGATGGCCTTCAATGAAATTTCTCAGCACCATGTCCCCGACTCGCCTTTGATTGTTGGAGGAGATTTTAATTGTATCCTTGCTCAGGCGGACAAGAAGGGTGGGCGACCCTTCTCATTCACGGCCGCTGCTAAGGGCATGAGTGATTTCATGGCTGCCAATGAACTGATTGATCTGGGATTCTCCGGTCCATCCTTCACGTGGATTAACAACAAAGATGCTGGCAGTCGCATTTCCTCCCGTTTGGATATGTTTTTGATTAGTTCCTCTATTTTGGACGCTTTTCAGGAGCTGAGGGTGAGCCACCTTACGAGGATCGCCTCTGATCACTGTCCTATCCTTTGCACTGTTAGCCTGGGGCGACATCGGGCTCGTTCATACTGGATTAAATTTGAGGACATTTGGGCGAGCTTCCCCAGAGCGTGGCAGTTGGTATCCGAGAAATGGCGTGTGCCGGACACAGGCTCTGAAGCCTCCAAGTTAAATAAAAAATGCCAACGAACTCTGAAGGCTCTGTTCTTCTGGAGCAAAAACAAGTTCAAGATGTTAAACAAGCTACGGGATGAGCTGGATAGGGAGATTTGTATGTTACAGGGCATCGAGTGATCGCCGACTGGGCTTACTGAGGTGCAGGCTGAGTCGCTGCGCTACAAAGTCCAACTACTTAACTCGACTCTCGGTCGGCTTTTGACATGGTGGAGGCAGCGTGCGAAGGTTAAATGGATTGAAGAAGGGGATGACAACACTCGGTTCTTCCACTCGATGGCTTATGCTAGACGGCGTACCAACCTCATTGACCGAATGAGGTTACCTGATGGCCAAATGGTCTCTGATCAGGTGGATGTCATGCAGGTGGTGAGGGAGTTCTTTGAAAATAACTGGCGTGGGACGCCTATCAGTGAGGATGAGTGGCCTTCTTTTGAGGCCCAGAACACCATGCTAGCACCTGTTGCTACGTTGTTGGACAGAGCCGTTACAGAGGAGGAAATATGGAATGGGGTTCGGGGTCTTGGTCAAAATCGGGCTCCCGGAAGAGATGGAGTGACGGCCTCTTTTTTCAAATCTTTTTGGAGCATTGTCGGTAAGCAGGTTACGGCGGCCTGCTTCGAATTTTTTGCAACCGGGTGTATGAATCCCAATTGGAAGGAGACTGTGGTGTTGTTGATTCCCAAGACTAGCAACCCGGATCGTCCGTCTATGTACAGACCCATTAGCCTGTGTCAGACCATCTATAAAATCGTGGCGAAGGTACTTGTGAACCGGATGCAAGGTTTTCTGCCCAACCTGATTTTTGGAAAGCAGGCTGCTTTTGTCCCGGGGCGGTCAATCTCCGACCATTGCTTGCTCGGGCAGGAGGTGCTGAACAAATTTAGGATCTCAAAATCTAATCCTGGGTGGATGGCGGTCAAGGTTGACATGGAACAAGCTTATGACAAGATGAGCTGGAGAACTCTTGAGCTGGTGTTGTCTCGCATGGGATTCCCTCTTAAATTTCGCTCTTGGATTATGAGCTGCATTTGCTCCCCCCTTTTTCTATTATGGTCAATGGGCAGCTCACGGAGGCTATTACGGCGGAGTGTGGGTTCCGACAGGGATGTCCGCTCTCCCCCTATCTGTTCATACTTTGCTCAGAACTCCTGTCACTTCAATTCCACCAACGGTTCCCGGAGATGGGCGTTCAACTCAAGGCGGGTGGACCTATGGTCTCCCACCTCCTTTACGCTGACGATGTTTTATGTTTTGCAGGTGCTTCCATACCCAACGTGAAGAAAATCATTTCGATTATGGAGGACTATTGTGCATGGACTGGGCAACGGGTCAATCGAAGCAAGTCGACAATTTTGTTCAGCAAGGTGACCTTGTCGTCGACCAAACACCAGCTGGCTAGGCTTGCTGGCTGTCGCATGGTTGAGGAGATGGAATATCTGGGAGTCAAGCTCACACTTCGAAGACTGAAAAAAGCGGATTTCAGCCCGCTCCTGCAGAAATCCAGTGCTCTGACTCTTGCCTGGGGAGTGAGACATCTTTCATTAGCCGGTAGAGTTACTATGATTAATTCTGTCTTACTTCCCCTCTCGGTCTATGCTGTCTCGCATATGATGGTTCCGAGAGGTGTTCTCGATGAGATGGAGAAGATATGTCGTAGCTTTCTGTGGAATAAGGATCACAATCATAAGAGTTTACACTATGCCAGCTGGGAGGTGCTTACCAAACCGTGGCGACTGGGGGGATTTGGATTCCATGCTAGTGGACGGTGGACCGGCCCCTTACGTGCCCGAATCGCTTGGAACTTCTTTTGCAAGCCGCAAAGTTTACTCAATCGGTGCTTGAGACATAAGTATGGGGATTGGCCTTGGTCCCGGGGCCAGCGTCGTGACGATTCTGCTGCTTGGAGGGTGATTTGTAGCGGGGCGGAGAGCTTAGCCAACTGTATCCGATGGCGGATTGGTAATGGTGCTGACATTGATGTGCTCAATCA